CACACTAATAGATGGTTTCCACTCTTGTAGACTGCACTGAACATGATCACCAGGTGTCTTGCTGCAGACTTGAAATCGGATGGAATTCTCTGCATTTCTTTGCATCCAGGCTGGCTTCAGACAGACATGGGTGGTAACTTGGTAAGTGACAGCTATCTGAAAATGTGAAAGTATGACTCCCTTGTCCCAACTATTAGAAGAGAAGCATCTGCCCGAGCATTCACACCCCATTCAAGGAGTCACACACACACCACCTGAGACTTTAACTGCCAGGAACAGGGTCCCTTTGCAGCGGGTGACCCCCGTGAGCCGACAGGTGCCCCTTTCAACTCCTCTCACACACACACACACAAACACACACACACACACAAACACACACACACACACACACTGTCTCTCTCTCTCTCTCTCCTCTTGGGCACACTCCCTTCTTCAAGCTCAGCCCTGGGTTTCCTGCAGCAGTCTCTCAGGCATGGGATTTTATAATAATAAATAATTTCATTGCAAGGGTCAGCTAGCTGGGTGCCTCCAGAGATGGATGTCGAACAAAGACACCCCTGGGCAATGATACCCTTGCCATGTCTACACCTACCCCTCACAGGCTGTTCACACGTCTTTTAGTCCAATGGTGATTTTTGGTCTGGGGTCTTCTAACACCACCTTGGATCCCCTCTCCGTGTCCGGGCAGGCCAGCTGTTGACTGCTCTTGTCTCGTTGATTTGCAGTCTCTGCTGAGGGTTGTCACCTCCTTATCTTCTGGTTTATGCTTCTTGTGCACCTGTACTCACTGGCAGAATGTGGGGAACTGAAAAGTCCCAGACTTAGGGAAAACACTACCAAAACATCAGTGTGTTATCGACATTTTCCTCATACTACAAGACTAAACACAGCATTGTACCAGCTGGTAGGAAAATTCCTAAGGAAATTAACTCTATTGTGGCCTAAAGGCTTCAGCAAATCTAGCTACTCACGCCAAGTAAAGCTAGGCAAACAGCACAAATCGCACCACATTATAAACCTAAGTAATCCATTCTAATTAAAACTTATTTATTTAAGTAAACAACTAATATCTCAACACCAACCCTTGAGAAAGAACCCACTGTACCGTATACACTTCCACGTGTTGCAGAGGCACACTATGAAACATGAAAATACATCCCACTTGATTCTAGTAACTCCTTAAATGCATTTGATTCTCTCCTGTCGGATATGCCCAGTAATAATCTCATCTTGATTTGCTCTAGGCTCCCATGCAGGTGCAAGAGGCTATCCCAGGTATTCTCTCCGTTCTGGACCGTCTTGGTGAAAAAGAAAATGGTTCCTTCCTGGACTGGCAAGGGGAAACTCTACCGTGGTAGAAGTGCACAGTATGCTACAGAAACAGCATGTCACTTGCTATTTAACTTGTGCCACTAATGTCCGTGTTTCTAGGATTTTCTTATACACTAGTTGAAATAGTCAGTGTGATATCCAGCCACTCTCTAGGTGTATTTGGAAAACGAGGTGGCTGACTCTCTTACTTGGTATTGCTACTGCTCTGTTCTGATGCTTCCTGCAAATACTACTGTGCTCTTAGTGATGGGTATCTCTTAGAACCATCTGAAATAGATTAAAAACTGCAAGTTAAGTCCAGGGGCTGGTTCCTCTTCGCTTCCAAAACCAAAGTGGGTCTCTTGCTCTCTGCAGAAGTAAGTGACCTGACGGCAGAGTAAGGCCAGTGTAGGCTGTCAGATGCCAGTATGTTCAGTCTGCTGGAGACACGTCTCTGGAAAAGGTCCTTTAGTTTCCTTCAGTCCTAACTGAGCCAAGGCTGAAATTGCCCAGCTCTAAACTATGTGAATTTGGTACTTCTGTAGATTCCTCAGCAACCTCTGAGTGTCCCCAGGTTGACAGCACGCACCAGGCACTTGCTTTGTTCCCAGTGGGCGACTAACATCCTAAAAAGGGGGTGGGAATGTTGTTTTGTACATGAACTTCTAAAGTGTCTTCAATAAAGTCTTGTTTAAACAAATAGTCTGTTTACTAAACTGCTTCAGTTAATTTCTCTGTATGTAGGTTTCTCTTTGTAGGTTTCTCTTCCCTGACCAGAGAACTGCACTTCTACCTTGCAGGAAGAAACTCTAACCTTTGCTGTCTCCTTCAGGGCTAGATGGGTTTAACGTGGTGGGGTGTACCTGAAACTGAGGCAGACCCTTGTTCTGGGCTGAAATACTAAAAGCAGCTGGTGAAAAGATCTCTGTGTTCTGGCTGAGGTGGGGATAAAAGTAAAAAGTTCTTTGAAGTCTGGGATTGGCTTCAACATCGCTCCCTCATGCCAGCTGATTAGGCACTTTCATGCCGTGCCAAGGTGGTGGGTTCCTGTACCAAGTAAGAAAAGACAAACAAGAGCCAGGTAAGTGGGAGAGACAGGTGTGGCTGTTCCTGGAC